AATTATGATGGGGACTTGGGCCAAATGCATGTGTGTCCCTGCTTGGGCAAAATTTGTTCTGCAGTGCATCTGAAGAGGGTGAGAGAGATTTTATGGCCGCTAATGTATCCTGGATGGATAATTACCTCTTACAGAGTCTTCAGAAAAAAAACAACAGTGGACATAAGATCACTGTAAATGTCCTTTGAGACACTGAAATGCCCATAACAGTTTTTTTCTTTCTTTCTTTTTTACTGAGCCTGGCGAACATTTTCATGTTGATGAGTTTTAAAAATGATTAGGAAAGACTTTTCAGTCACTTCTACCCCTTTGTAAAGAGGCTCCTTGAAACAAAATGACCTTTCTGTTTTTTCAGAGCCTTTTGAAGATTTTTTTCAGTGTAATTCAGGCTGATAAGTATCTTTGCATCACCCATTTGGCAAGAGGGCGAGTGTTTCTTTGTCCAACACTAACCTTCCTTCTCTACTCATTATCTCTGGTGAGAGCTGCTTTAATTGAAGTCATCCCTTCTGAAAGATATCTCCAACCAAGTTCATTATTGATTTTGAAAGATCTGACCTGTTAAAAGTTCCTTGTCAATGAGTTAACCTTCTCACCTGAAGGTGAATTAAAATAGAGAATGACATTTCTAATTTCCTAAGTGTTGTAGCTAAAGGAGCTGTGCTAAAGTGGTATAATGTTAGCTCAGCCTTTTAAAAGGATAAGATTTGCTATTTAGCTTGATGAGCCTTCTTGGGCTGGGCAACAATAGATCTTTACTCAGGTGCAGTTGCTTTCTGGAATGGCTTTTAATCGAATATTATTATATCACAAAGTGATTCTCACGGATTTGTCTCCTTTTCTTGAAGTTCTGTTGTAGATTTACACCCAGGAATTCAGGTCTAATCAATCATTAGCAAAACTGAAGAATGTGAAGTAAAGTAAACCTATTTATCTACCTAGACATTTGATTGACCTGACATCACAGGGTCATTTCAGCAGGTTTGTTGAACTGGGTTCTGCAGGCACTTTTTTAAAATATATTTTCCCTAATTCCAGCTGCAGTGGCATCTTAATAATACTCGGTGTCTTAAAATTTCTACTAGTGTGACTGATTCTAAATGATCATGCCCTTGTTCAGATATATAGATCTCTCCCAACACTTATTTTCTCCTTTAATTCAAATTTGCACGTGGACTGTTCTTTCACCATGTAGAAAATACTCTTCATGTTTATCTAATATTTTGAAGTAGTGGGAGGAAGAATTTTAAGAATGGATGTATTTATGTAAGTACACGTTGTTCAATGAAGCTTAAACAAGGAGATTTAATACTTGTGGTAATCCATAAAGAGTGCATTATAAAGTCTTCACAATGTATAATTTTGAATATTTTCTGCCATTTTGTATCTGTTGCATTTCTTTCTCTATTCAATTGGAGTTAATAATCGTAAAAATATATAGGGATTAATTTCTAGTGTAGTTAATATTTAATGAAGTGTGAATATGTTACATATTCTAAGTTTATGGGAAATGTCTATTAGTTAAATTTTTAAATTCTGTATTCAAATAATAAATTGTTCTTCCTGTCAGCTTTCTGATACAAAATCTCTAGCATGGAATTAAATAGCCGTTTTGAGAAAGAATTTAGCATAAAGTCTGTACCTATAATTCATGACCCCCAAATCCTTAACAAATAGCATTTTCTTACTGTCTGCTTTCTGGATATATCTACTCATGAATACATAATTTCTTTTAATCTTTTTATAGTGATTTAAACTTTGGCATAGTGAAGTTTGGGAAACTGAGTTAAGGGAAAATATATAACTCCCCTCTCCCCTCTCCAATTATTTTCTCTCTGTACTGCTTCATGTTCATGTTTTGTGGAAAATTAAATACTGCCAAGATTTATCTCAGAAGTTGATAAAATGATCCCAAAGTTTCTGCTGACAATGAGAATTTGGCGACAGTCAAGACCATTGGTTGTAAAGCATAATGGGTGCCTTTAAATATCCTCTAGTAACATGAATTTTACTTTAGCATTTACATGCCTTTCACAGAATTATATCTGGTAGAGGAAGTACTGTCTGGTTTATTATCTTTACTGGATGGGCTTTTAGAATTGTGGCTGGCTTTCTGAAAGAGCAGGAACCAAAGGTTTATTTCCTTCCTCTCTTTACTTATTTTAATAGCATTTACAAGAGACACCTTCCTCTGTCTTACTTTATGCTGACCTCTCTGGAAGAATTTCTCTTTCATATAGAGGGTTTTTTTGTTTTGTTTTGTGTTGTTTGTTGTTTTTTTTTTATCTACACAAGAATTCTCAGATCTATATTTTGTTAAGATTTCTTTTATAAAGTTTCTGATTTTTTTTCCTAAAAATTTAAACTAAAAGAATTGGCTCAGTAAATATCTGATTATTCACATGGTGCATATTCTGTCATGTTTTACTTTCTAGGGATTTTCATGATGTCTGATGAAATCAAAGGTTTAAAGTTTTCTTGAAGTTTAATGAGTACTTATTTAGGGGAGAATAGAAAGGAAATCTGTTGTCTTTGAGTACAGGAAAATAGTAATGACATAAAATCATTCTGAGGGAGTATTCAGCAATATCCTCACTGCTGAATTTTGATGCTTTAGCACAGTCTTCAAAGAAGCAAAAAAAAATTATAGAAAAGACAAAAATTCATTTCTTGCATTTGCCTTTCTGGAGAGAAACATGCAGTTTGCCCCAATGCCATGGTCCTTCCTCAGCCTCATAGCTTTGCACGTCTGAAGTTCTCTAATGCCTTCTCCATCTCTCACCTTCTCTTAACTGTGAAGTTTGCCAATGTAATAATTGAGTAAATCCTTCCAAATCTACAGAAGGTCTAAGGTGATACTAAAAAACCCAAAAGTTTTACCCACTATTGAGGGATTCTTCTCTCAAGATAAAAGTGTAAAAGAGGTGTTGTTTCCTAGTAACATCTACTAAAAGATTCTGCTGTTACTTCTTATGGCAAGATCTCTGTGAAGTAAGTTCAGAAATCAAAGGTAGCACTTGCAATGGAAAAGTAAATGGGTTTTGTGTTAGAACAGAAGACAAAGGAAGAGGTCGATGACTGTGTTCCTGTCTGTTTCTTTACTGGGTGAGAGAAATTTTAAGAAATCTCCTGGAGATTTCTGGTATGAGACTATTCTTGTGATGCCCTCCTTAAAATACTTCCTTAAAATACTTGTATACTTTTAAATTTTTGCAATAGTGATTCGTTGCATTTTTAATAGGACATCTTGGGTTCTTGTAATAGATCAGTGTGATAATACCAGATCAAATTCATGTATTTTTAAGCAGAAGTCCCTGCTGTGATTAATGGGGAGTTCTGTTTAAAAGCCAAAGTTATGATATGGTCTGAGATACTGAAATGACTGCTTACATTAATATTTCACAGTAGTTATTACTTATTTCTAAAACAAAAATTGAAAAAAACCCTATTTACATAGAACGTTCTGTTAGATATATTTCCAACATCACAAAAATAGACAAAAGGGCTTATTTTAATACATTTGTGCAACACGTTTACCAGATGGAACTAAGTAATAGTCATTTTTTAAAATGAATTATTTATCTCAGTTGTGTCTAGAATGAAAATGATTGATTATAGAGCACTCAAATAAAGAGATTCCTTATTTTGCATATATTGCAGTGACAGGTTTCATATGGTCCTGACAAGATTCTTCAAAATTAATACAGATCTATCCTTGTCTACTACATAGCAGCACCTATATTTTGAGTACATCCACATGGCTTAGTAGGCTTTCCTTCCCATAGTTTTAAGTACTGTGTCTATATAATGAAAACACCACAGTTTTAGGGAAAAGTTGCCATTTAAAAATTGAAAATGGGTTTCACAGGAATTCGGCAAACTGCAGACAATAATGAATAATAAATGAACAGAGGATATGCTTGGGAGAATGTATCTCAGCAAGACATAAAGTCTTAGTGCACTTCAAAAGATTTATGACTGGATTGTTATTTCAGTCCAAAACGTAGGCAATTTAAATAATGAAATATTTAAATATAAATAAAAATAAAAATATAAAATTGGCCCTTCCTTACTTCGAAGATGCAATTTTTATGAACTTCTTTGCTCCGGTGAATTAGAAGAAATTAGATGAGAAGTCCAGATCATTATCCAAGTGATATTCATTAAGTTCAGGTCTCCTATTTTATTTTATTCCATTAGTGGCCAAGAAAACAACTGTAAAGAATCCAGAGATATGAAAACCTTCTTATTTGATCCTTGAATAACTATATAAGCTCTCTTGTGGCCAAGGAGGCAGAGCGAAGGCGCAGATGAGAAGTAGTATGCATGCTGTGCTCCATGAATAAGATTTCTGTCGAGAGTAAGAAAAAGCAGCAGCTTATCGTCTGGGCTCCTTGCTTTTTTATTAAAACACACCTTTCAACACAACTGCGATTTAGGGCAAAACTCAAGGGAAAGATACTGAGTAAACTGTGTGCTTCCGGAGAGAAAATGTCAGAACGTGTGTTCCTACTGCTATTTACTTCTCGCGCACCGTTTTTCATTAATACGTCTAAATGGGCTTTAAAAATTCATATTGTTGTCCCTGTCTTAGAGAGAGGAAGCTGAAGTGCAGGGAGACAGAAATGGTGTAGGTAGATCACCCTGCGGGCTAGGAGTAGGGCTGAGAACACAACCTAAAGCTCTTTCTGGCTTCATGCAATGAAATTGTAGTTTTTTTCTTATAACCAACTTTGTGCTACCTTGTCTGACATTATATCTTGGAGGAAGTCTGACCCTTTAAAAAAAGTCAGGGCGCAAAGATACTACATTTAATTTCTGATGTCTGCTTCTAGTGGTCTCAGCCAAAAGCTGTAGCCGGTCTCTGAAAAGCCATAGCAGTAAATTTCTTCATATCTCAGTGAAGGAGGTTTTTGATTTGTTTGCCCTTGGCTAATGTAAGCAGGGGCTGGGATTAGGAACCGCTGGGCTGGCACAAGCGTGATGGCCTGCGTTGACGGATGTACCCTGTGGTTGTAGCAGCCTCACAACGAGCACTTCTGGCCATCAGCGCCACAGCAGGAGGCTACGATGAACAAGGGAAAGAAATAAAAGGGCAAGAAATGAGACAGAGGGAGAAAAATAAAAGCATTCACTTGGTCTTGACGGTAATTGAAACAGAAATATTTCGTCTTCCCTTTTTATTTGTCTTCTCTTTTTATTATATCAGCCCGCGTGTTCTGAAGAAAATCACATTTAAAAAAACATTTATTGCAAAATATTCTTGATAGGAGCGTGAGTGATCTGATTTAAAGTCCCTGTAACCTGTTCGATATGGCTGATTACCACGAGATTGCACAACACTCTGCAGAGAAATGAACTCTCCTAATAGTACCGAGCAATTGATGAAGTGACACGTGCCGATATCCAAGTGTCATGACAAGAGCTAGTGGTGTTTTTTCAGTTGGTCTCATGGAGGTTCACTCTGATGAAAGTGAAGGGCAAGCCTCAGTTAGTTGAATTAGTGCAAAAATCTGCATTTCCATGTATTATCACTGAGATTAGTACTAGAAATGAGATTTTTGGGTAAAGTGTGATGCTGTCTTAGCAGTGTTCCAGTTAAAATACATCAATTTCCACTGAAATTTGCTTTGAGATTTGTGAGTGCATTGAATGCAAAATGCCGATGGGGAGAAAACTGTGAATCTTGGTTCAACACCAAGGGGAAAACCTCATCTTAATCTATACAAATCAAATCCTCCTCTTTAATAGGCGGTGGACCTGAATTGGTTTTCTCAATAATCTGTCCCTTAAAATCAGATTCTGAGGCAGACAGAGCTGTCAAAATCTAAAGGGAAACAGATAAGGGTCATTTGTAATGACGTTATTGTTTCTCATATAATTATAGAGCTTTCATTGTAAAATGTTACTATTTACTTGTGATTACAGTCTCTATAATTATTGGAAGTAACTATTGATTTCACAATTGGCTCTGCTGTTCATGGGATTGGTTTTTCTTCTGTTTCTCCTTGCTTGTTGTATGAGAAAAAAATAGGTTCCTGCCATGTGTTTTCTATCATTACCTTTCTAGTAGCCTCGCACAAGAAAAAGAACAGGAAATTTAGGAATTTCTAATACGATTTCTAAAAGTGATCTTCTTTAGAAGGCAGTTGAACAACACATGGATGTTCTTTATCTGATGTCCAAGTATTCGTTATATGGGAAGGGTTGTACCAGCACAGTCTCCTGTGCTGTGTGAGCTGGAAATGGTGGGAAGCTGGGAGAGTACCAGGGAAGACATCGTATATGCTCACCATATTTCCATACCTTCTTCAAGAGAAGGCTCCAAGGAGACCTTGTAACCCCTTCCAGTACCTGAAGGGGGCTACAGGAGAGATGGGGAGGGACTCTTGATCAGGGAGTGGAGTGATAGGATGAGGGGTAACGGTTTCCAACTGAAAGAGGGGAGATTTAGATGAGATCTCAGGAAGAAATTTTTTCCTGTGAGGGTGGTGAGACACTGGAACAGGTTGCCCAGAGAAGCTGTGGCTGCCCCATCCCTGGAGGGGTTCAAGGCCAGGCTGGATGGGGCTTGGAGCACCTTGGTCTGGTGGGAGGTGTCCCTGCCCAGGGCAGGGGGGTTGGAACTGGATGATCTTTAAGGTCCCTTCCAACCCAAACCATGCTATGATTCTACGATTCTTTGTTGCTGTAGGAGATGGGCACTAGAGTAGGTAGGTCTTTGGTGTGTCTCAGTGTAACTGTCTCAGCAGGAGAGGCAGAGCAGCTTTCAGCTCTTTAGTAATCAGAAAAAAAACCAAACCAGACATGTGTGGGAGAGATACAAGCAAAGGCTGATAAAGCCTTTCATCCAACTTACAAAGCTTGCGAGAGCGTTTGCTGCGTGTGGGAACCATCATTTTGTCAGAAGAGCATTATCTGGCTCTTCAGCCAGCAGTGTGACGAGAGAGAGAACACAGGGAGAGGAGTGTGAGGAATACGTTAGGATGGTTTAATGCTACCTCTAATGAAACTAAGAAACGTTCACGAACCAGCTTTATGTGTAACCAGACTGTGGGCTGGAAGAAACTGCATTCAGTATCTCACAATATCAGAAGTATTTATTACAACATGACTAGAGGCTCAAAGCAATGTAATTGCTTTGTAGAACATAGAAGCTCTATTTCTCTTTAAAACATGCTGCTTCAATTAAGTATTCCTTTCGTGTATTCATTCAATATTCATTTTGGCTGCTGCTGCTATACTGTGTAAAGGAAAATGAATAGTTAGAGGAACTCATGCTAAAAAAAAATAAAAAAAGAGGTTTGGAGGAAGAACTGTTTTAAAATCTGAATAATGTTTTGAGAATTAGCTTAAGTTTATAATAAGCCTAAAGGAAAGGATTTCATTACAGGTTATGACAACAGCACAAAACCAGATAGTTCTGCACTGTGAGCTGTCAGCCTTTCATGTTTGGGTATGTGCTAGCACATACTTCAGATTATCATGTTCCACCACTGCTGCGAGCTGGAGGCTCTTGATAGCTTCGGTGCAGATAGCGATTTTCAGGGTGTTATGCCACTGCACATTCAAATTACTTTGGAAAGAAATGTGGTATGAAAAGTGTGAGCCCTGATACGGTTTATTTAAAAATTTGAATCCACACAGACAGAGCAAGAAAATCAATATTAATCAGTTTCAAATCTAAGGAGGTGGTTGGGTTTTCTTTCTTTTTATTTTTAAAGGGTTGAATTAGGTTTTCAGACCTGACTGTCTGGGGGATGAAGAACTAACATTATATTAAAAAAAGGAGAAAAATTTTGAGACCATTTTTTTTCTTTATGTACTTTTCTATATTAGAGAAATAAATACTCCATGTTTATAACAGATAAAATACTTCAATATCTATTGTAATTGACACAATGTTATGGCAGAAAAAGCACAAGGAAGACAAAAAAAACCCCTCTATTATGTGAAAAGTGTGTTAAAGCTCCCAAGAATTATGGTATAGGAGGTCACTGCATCAACACTGGGAAAGCACATTAAATTCCAAATTTGTTTTTATGGAGCACATATCTTTGTTTTAGACTCACCAGTTTTCTACTACACAAAAGGAGTACTTGCTGGAGTAAAATAAGTAAAATTTGGCTGTAGCAATTTGTAAGATTCTAGCATGAGAATGCTCAGGGAAACACTGACTAAGTGTTGTGCTTTTTGAGGTGTAGATGTCAGAATTTAAGCTGCTGTGGTTACTCTTCACTTTCTTTCATGTGTGTGACATTAATGTTTTTAAGTGAAACTTGAAAACAGATGGATAATGTTAATTACCATGCCATTAATAGTATCAGGAACATCTGTGAGTGTGTTTTCTTAGTGGATATTAACAGGGGAAAAAATAAAGAGGCCCACACTTATAAAGTGACTTAGTAATTATGTACACAGCTAGAGAGATTTCAAAGTGGCTGATTTTCATATACTGACAAGTTGGCCTTTATCCCATTATTTGAAAGCATGCCCTGAAAATGAGGAAACAATGTGAAATGTGTAGATTAGACGCATCTATACCACAGTTTTTTTAATGTTAATTTTTAGATTTCCTTTTTAATTTCAGAAATGTGAACAACTTGTTCTTCAGATTCTGAGGTGATTTGAACCGCAGTGTGGCTTACACTCTCCCTTAGAGAATCAGGAAGTAAAAAATTTGACCTAGGAGTTAAATCATTTGTAGGCATATTTGATTCTCCATTATCTTCCTCTGAATCAGAGATGTTCTGTTCTATTACGTTGAGAATCCTTTCCTTTTTTTAATCTCTCTTCCGTATCCTGAATCCTTTTGCTTTGATGCAGACGCTGCCTCGCGTGTTCTTTTCAACCTCTGAGAGAGGAGCTGAGAAAGACAAAAGCATTAAACAGAGACGACAGCCAAGGTGATCCATAGCACTCCTGGAGGGAAAGAAGAGTTTGCTGGCAAACAGAGCAGGCGGCATCTCGCACATCACCCAGGGAGTCCCACCATGGGTGGGAAAGAGGCAAAATAGAAAGGTTTTGTCTATCAGTGATCTTCTACTTTCTTGGCACTCCCCATAGTATAAATTACAGAATCTGTCTTTCTGAAGGCTGCCAGCTTGTCATGTTGGCAGCGTCTCAGGTTCTATATTAAAAAAAAAAAAAGCCATCAATAATTTATCTAGAATTACAGTGTTTTGCTGTGTTACTTCTTCCCAGCGTAATAGGTGACATGTCTGTATCATGGAGGCTGTTTCCTGTTTAGACTTTTGCAATGAGGAAAATATAGCTGTAGTGTACCAACTTACAGACATGCTTATCTTGTTTTAATTTAGCCCAAGTGATTTTGGTGGCAGCTCTGAGGCTGTTATATTCTCGGTGTCCTGCTGTTCGTCCTGCTCCTTCGCTGGCTCTGCTATCAGGAGCTCCCGAGTCCTTCAAAGACTTCTTGATCCATGTCCTTTTGACCTCTCTTGAGATTTACTGCTTAGGCTTGAACTAGATCTTGTAATGCTGGTGTCCTTCTGACTCTCGGCCCTGTATCACCCACTTAACCTTCTTGGCCTTCAACACAACCTTCTCACAATACAAAGAAATTTGAGGTGTCCAATATCGGGCACCGTTAGCTTGTTTCTGAAGGTAGAAAAAGTAGATTTCTGCTAATCAGTCTCTCAATAGTCTCTTTAAATACAATCCTCTCAAAATACTGAAAACTAAGCTGCTCATTGTCTTGTGCAGCCCGAGTCGCTCTCTCTGGCATTAAACTGTTAATGCTACTTACAGACACCAAACCAGTAACACAAAATGGGTCAAAACCAGTTCTCACTGAAAGTACAGCAAAATTCAGATGAAATAAGTGGTGCAACCCTCATTTGTTAAAAATGGGAGTAGTATCTTGAAGTTTTAAGATGTGTTTTTTATTTGGGGATTGCTGGGGACTTGTTTTGTCTATGTATTTGTATGTGGAGAAAAGCTCAAGGGATTTTCACTTACACTTATTTGCTCTGAATCAAAGTTCAAAATAAGGGGTTTTTTTATTCTTCAAATAGTGATAATTTTTATACCTGAAACAATATTAATATATAAGATACTAGCTACTACAAATAGCTTTGTTCTCAGCTGCACACCTATCAGTGCTTTAGTGCGGGTTTTGTCTTGATTTTTTTTGACTCCATTGTGATCCTTCCCTGAAATTTCAGAATAAACTTGCAGTAATGGTTAATGCACTTACTTCCCTGCTCCCTAACAAAAATAAATGTTAATCCTACAGAAGCTTAGGGAGAATCTTAATATTGTATTTTACAGTAATCTCTTTAGAAGACAAAGAATTACAAATGACATTTTAAACTCCCTAAGACTTAAGTGCCAACTCCCAGCAACAAAAAAGAGAGGGGAGCTTCCTATTTATTTCTATAATTGCCATCTGTAATGCGCTGATTAAACAGAAAACCAGATAAATGATGGTATTTTCATGAGACAAGTACAGCTTGCTACAGGTGAACTGTGACTCATTCCTCTTGATATGTCTAAAACAAAATCCTAAGAGAATCTGTTGCCCAGGATAACAGGATCAGTGCAGGGCAAGGACGGTGGAGTGTCTGCATGAGGACTCCTTCGGTGGGACAGAGGGAACCTAAAGAATATCCATGTAGAGCAAATTAAAACATCCTGTGAGACCTTGATTAGGCTCGACAGCTTTCCTAAAGGCTTTCTGTCGTTGTTACCAGTGAAAGGGCTGCCACCCTCCCCAGCCCCTCCTGCAGCCTTTCGGTGATGGTGGTGGTGGAGGAGACCCTTTCCATTGTGTTCTGCTGATTTCTGTCATTGCTGGGTTCTGTATCAGTGCCCCAGTAGTTTCTGTGAGATTATTTCTTTCCCCAAATTTCACATTTACTAATGTTGTGGTTAATGTACTGCCCATAATGACGATAGAATATAAAAAGCATGTTGCAAAGTGTTCAAGGCCAGGCTGGATGGGGCCTTGAGCAACCTGCTCTTGTGGGAGGTGTCCTTGCCCAGGGCAGGGGGGTTGGAACTGAGATCTAATATGAATCTTTTTTCTTCCAATATAAAACCATTTCCTCTTGTCCTATCATTACACCTCCGGCAAAGAGTCCCTCCCCAGCTCTTCTATAGGCACCCTTCAGGTATTGAAAGGCCGCTATAAGGTCTTAAGGTCTATCTTTTTTTTTTTTTTTTTTTTTTTTTCTATTACATTCAGCTTGCTTTATTTAACACTTACCCTGTCCCCAAGTTTTAAGTGTTTACACAAATGCAGTTTGATTTGGTGAAGTGTGGCAGCCCTTTAGTCTTTTGAGTCAGCTCACTAGGGGGAAAGCCTCAACAGATCCCTGCCTCAAAGCTGGGGTTCGCTTTGGGGCCCTGTCATAGTCACATAAAGAGGCATGCAGTAGACTGAAAATTTAAGCTTTCTGCAGTACTTGTAGCCTTGTACTCTAAATAGATTATTTTGTATTTAAACTTAAAGATCAATGTAATGTCTATAAGGGGGAGGGTTGGATACATCACTAATAGCTCTGTGTCAACAGCTCCATGAACCTAGAGGTGCTGAGCAGCAGTTGGCTCAAAGGTTCATGTAAATGGGGTTTGTTGATACTCACTGGCAATGCTTTTATAAAATTGCATACTACTTCAGAGCAAAAGCAAAATAACGCAGTTTAACACATGAGCCTATCTGTGCACCTCATTGTTGTCTTGGATCCAGTTGTAAAAACAACATTCTTGTAATCTAATGAAAGAGCTTATTTTTGCCCAATTAGCACACTCATGTCAAGCAGAAGTTCAAGGTACAACATGATTTCTTGGCTAATTGATATTTGAACATTTAGTAGAATCCCAAATGAGCAAACTCTTCATCTGGAGTACAGTAAAGACCTGGTCTTTTTAAAAGAGGGATTTCTTCACTGAGCACACACAATATACACAAGGTGCAGTGATCTGATAAGACAGAAATCTGTAGTTTGCAAGATTTAGCTTTGTTTCATTCATTCTTTTCATTTAGCTTTATTTCAATCACAATTATTTTAATATCTCTGCTTTACTTGGAGATTTCTGCAGTCTTTATTCTTTTAAGGTTGGCAAGCATTCAAAGTGGTGTTCTAGGGAAATGGTATCTCTTAAATCAGTGTAAATACACCTAAATTAAATACAACAATGATTATGTCATTTTTGGAAGGCTGGTTAGAGGTAAAGTAGGGTAATCTTGCTGAAATGGAAACTGAAATGTATTTGTATTTAATATACATTTATTTTTCAGGATAGCTAGCTAAACCTTGGAATCCCTAATTCAAACTTAATCTGCAAAAAATAGGGAGGAGTTTCCATGGGCTGAATCAGTCTCTGCCAGCTGGCATTGCTATGGAGTATTAATGCTTAGGATTTTAGAACTACAAGCAAACAGTTAAGCTGCAGTGTCCGCTTAAAAAAGAGGGAGTGAGGAGCAGAGGCTCAGTGTATAGCCCTTCGTCAGCCCATTCCCAAACTGCTACTCAAGTTAAAGTTGGATGAACAGTGAAAATTGTGTTGAAGTCAATGAGACTTTTAAAGCTCTGGGGAATCACTAATAAGGTGTGTCTTCATATTCTTTCTAGTCATTCAATAAGAAAGTGTTGTAAATAATTTGTAAACTAATTTATATTTATTTATGTAAATATATATATTTATTTATAAAAACTAAACTTATTCTTGTGCAGTACCAGAATTATTCCGTTAACCTGCTTTAGAAATAACAAAGGCTCAGCCCAGCATCTCCCACAACTTTACTCACACAAATAGTCTTGTTACTGATCTCATTCAGATGAATGAGTATTGCATGGCTTGGCCCCAGGTTCTTCATGGAACATGAGGACTCCTTGGTCAGAGAAAATGTCTACTGTGTGACCAACTGTCTGCAGATGGACATCTTTTCTTTGGGAAATGCCTACAGGTTTTTTTCTAAAGTGCTTGTTCTTTTCCTCTTTCATAGTGAGTCAATGCATGGTGTGTATGAGGAGAATTCTTTAAAAAAATGGAAAAATACAGAGGTTTTACCTGCCAATTTGTGGATTTTGTGAGTTGAACGGAGTAAAAATTAAAGGTTTTAATAATGGAAAAAGCAACCATATCATCTTTCAAGAATATAGATTTTTATTGGGTTTGTTGACACTAGTTATAACAACATGTCAAGTATTTACCATAGACCTTAGAGATTTAAAAAAAGCAATAACTTCTGTTCTTTGTAGAGTTACCAGCTGGTATGTCTCTTCTTTCAAGAACTTATTCCATATAATCATTTCACAGATTGTGTGGAACAAACACTCCTTAACTGGCTTTTAATTTTTATTTTAGTTATAATAAGGGAAAGAAAAGAAGTGGCCTGCCTGAAATTACCTCTGTTTTTCAAAATGCATTATGTTGTTGTTCTCATTATTTGACACAGCATGGAAGGAAGTGAACTGATATTAATTGGCACCAGGGTATGAAGGGCAGTGCAGTAGAAATGAGAAGTGAAAACCGAAACAGGGTTTCAGGGTATTTCAGGGGTATTCATGGGTATTTCATAGAATCATAGAATGGTTAGGGTTGGAAGGGACCTCAAAGATCATCGAGTTCCAACCCCCCTGCCATGGACAGGGACACCTCCCACTAGAGCAGGTTGCTCAAGGCCGCATCCATCCTGGCCTTGAACCCCTCCAGGGATGGGGCAGCCACAGCTTCCCTGGGCAACCTGTTCCAGTGTCTCACCACCCTCATAGTAAAAAATTTCTTCCTGAGATCTAATCTGAATCTTTTTTATTCCAATTTAAAACCGTTTCAGGGGTATTCATGGGTATTTCAAGGGTATTCATGCAGATGAGAGAAAAGATTAGATTCATGGAGGGGAGGACTTTGGTTCCTATCTTGCTAGTCAAAACCATGTGATGACTTTGTGGTTGCTCAGTTCTTAACTCTCTAAAGTGATTCATTCCTGTGTATGTTCTTGAAATTAAGTATTCAGTTTGCCTCGGATAAAATGTGAAATGTGTCTGTAATCATGAAAATAGGAGATGAAGAATTATCCCAGACTTATTTTGCATTTTCCAAGTTCAAGTCTCTCCAATGATGAAATTCCTAGAGATATAGGAAAAGCAAAACCAGTTCTGTGATGCACCGTGGCAGAAAAACCATTCATTGTGCAACGTTAGCATCTCCTCTTGTTTTCCAGGTCCGTGGGGGAGATGCATGGGAGACGAATGCGGTCCGGGCGGCATCCAGACGCGAGCGGTGTGGTGTGCCCACGTGGAGGGCTGGACCACGCTGCCCACCAACTGCAAGCAGCCCGAGAGGCCGGACAACCAGCAGAGCTGCTTTCGGGTCTGCGACTGGCACAAGGAGCTGTACGACTGGCAGATTGGCAACTGGAACCCGTGTCGGCCCGTCCTCTCCCGCAGCCACGAGAAGCCTTTGGAGTGCCTCAGAGGGGAGGAAGGGATCCAGACGAGGGACATCACCTGCATCCAGAAGTCCAACGGGGTGCCGGCTGAGGATGTCATCTGCGAGTACTTTGAGCCCAAGCCTCGGCAGGAGCAGGCCTGCCTCATCCCGTGCCGGCAGGACTGCATCGTGGCCGAATTTTCCCCCTGGTCGGAGTGCTCCAAGACCTGTGGCAACGGGCTTCAGCATCGAACTCGCCACGTTGTGGCTCCGCCGCAGTTCGGGGGCTCTGCTTGTCCCAACCTCACCGAGTTTCAGATCTGTCAGTCCAGCCCCTGTGCCACTGAAGAAAGCCTCTACAGCCTCAACGTGGGACCCTGGAGCGCCTGCTCGGTGCCCCATTCGAGGCAAATAAGGCAAGCGAGGAAACGGGGGAAGAACAAAGACAAGGAAAAGGACAGAGAGAAGGCGGTTCGGGATCCCGAGGCTCGGGAGTTAATTAAGAAGAAGAGGAATCGAAACAGACAGAATAGACAGGAGAACAAGTACTGGGACATACAAATTGGGTACCAAACCAGGCAGGTCACGTGTACTCACAGAAACGGGAAAACTGCTGCTCTGAGGTAATCATAATTTATTAATTTACACATCTTTATTTTTCTCTGTTGAACTTATGTGTAGTGTGCACTGGTAACGCCAGGATCTCAATAAGGGGCACAGACCATTTCCACTAACAACATCACTCATCAGGCTGGAGATGCTTCTATGGCATGAAACATGCCAACTGTGCTGGTGATCATACCCAGCATCATGTAAATGTGCACTGGTAAACTCTGCTAACGCCCTCGCCTCTGTCTAAATAGATTTCCTCCAAAAGCTTGAAGGTATTTGTCAAATGCCTGCTCAGTTTCTGTGTGCTCAGGCAGGTTTTTGCTCTCTCAGAAGTCATGTGCGTTTGGAAGAGGTGATGTTAGTACTTTTTAGGCTCTGGGCACAAAGAGTAACAGAAAACTGGGCTGGGTCAGATTCAACAAAAGTAAAAAACAGAGAGAAAGATGCTGCATGACAAGGCAATGTCTGTTCTTTCCGGTACCTTTTGTTTTGAAATAGAAGAGTATGAAATATTGTTTGTCCTTCTTGATTCCTACAGCAAAATTCCTGAAAGGGCGACTGTGAAACCTCTTTTCTTCTTTCATGTATTTCTTTTCTTTTGGATCTGCACCTTTATGCTGGTTCTCTGGGGTTTTTTTCTGATATTTCTATATAGTTTTTTTTATTTTACTTTTCAAGAGTTTCAGCAGTCACAGATGTTTTGATAGCTTTTTCCATAGGCTTCTGGGTACGTTTCTGCAACCGTATTATCTTCCACTTGTTTTTTTCCCTGGTGTTCTCTTGCTAGCTCATGTTTTTTTCTTCCTATCCCCCAGAAATGGTTTTTGTCCGACTCAAAACTCTTCTTTCAGTCTCGTCTACCTTATTCTGTCTTTGATGTGATTCTTTTTATTTCCTTCCCTCTAGTTCAATGCATGATTAATCAATTTTACATCAACTGTGAAATGGCTAAGATATCTTGCTGAATGAGGCTGACACCCGTTGCTGCTAGGTTAGTGTTTATGAACTTTTTTCAGGGTGTTTTACTTTGGAGTTTTCGTTGTGCCAATTAAACAGTCTATCACAGAACTTGTAATCACTTCAACCTTTCCTGTCAGAAACCATATCTTACAGTTTTTCAAGCGTAGTAAATGTTTTTTCGAGTATATTTCCTTTCAAGTGAGGATGCAGCAGTAAAACAGGAAAATGGTGAGAGTTCCCTTGTTTAAGGGAAGAACCAAAAGATTTGGGTTGTTTAGTTGGAAGGAAGGACTTAGGAGTGAAGATCTGAAGTGTCTATGAGTATATAAAAACTCATCACAAAGTAGAATAGAATGTTATTCTTTATATATGATGTCTGTATAGGAAAAACAATAATAGGATAATCACAACAGTGCTGAATGAGGTTAGACTTCTCAGTCCTGGGAGTAGCAAAGCTCTGGAAAAAGGTTGCCTGGGGAACGTGTGGCACCTCCATATAAAATGTTTCTAAGAAGAGGCTAGAAATGCATGTGTCAGTAATGACACACCTCGAGTAACTCCTGGTTAGGGAAGAGGGGCCAACTGCCTAGTTTTTAGCAGTCTCTTCTAGCTCTGTTTTTCTACAGTTCTTCCACATTTTCACCCCCACTTGGATGAATGTCTGCACAGGGAATCTCAGAATCAGGCAGTCCCAGGTGTTGTCTGCAGCACTGGCTCAGTGCTGGTACAGGAAGATGCCCCTTCCTTTTCCAGCCTCACATCACGCAGCCCACACTGTGCCTTGCCCAGGAACATCATTAACCTTTAAATATAGGGAATAATTTATTAAATGCATCAGTTGCTAGCAGATAGCAGCCAACTGCTCTGCTTGGAAGTCCCCAAGTTTTTATGGAGGTTAAACAAATAATTCAGAACGATCATATTTAAAAAAAAAAAGAAAAGAAAAAAAATAGAGATGGAGGGGAGGGAAACATTCATGTGCTGAGGCTCTGAGAAATGGTTAAAGGAAATAAAAGTATAATCAGAAGTCAATGGCCTGCTTTACTCCTCACCTTTATGCTCACTGTTGAATTCACACAGATCAGTAAGGCAGTCTTAATTTCAGATGCCTCAGTGTATTATACCATATATGCACATATCGGGTTGTAGCAGGGAAATGGATGAAACTTTCTTGCCTGAGGCAGTGAAAAAATAGACAATACAACGTAGGAGGGATTCTTCACAGGGGAGAAAATGATGCAAATGATGCAGTGGACATTTTGATGTCTAATTGATATAATTTAATATTGTAAATGCACAAAGGCATTTTAATAGTCTTTCCATCAGTTTAACAGAGATCCTTTTTTTCCAGTTGCATAGTGAAAACAAGAAAATTTGGTTAAATGACTCATATAAGAAATTCTGGCACTGGTACCTTAGCCTTTAGAGACTTATCTATGTATGTCACCTATTTATCCATTTGTTTCATTTATGCTACACTCTTCACCAAGTGCCTTATTCTGTGATTGGCATTCCAGAATCTCAAGAAATAGAATTATTTTTCTGCCCAGGTTGTCAATGCAACCAGCTCAAATGATTTTATAATCTCTGTCACGTAGTAACTGTGTTACTAAATAATATAGACAAGTAAGGTGACTGGAAAACCTGCCGTGCTCACGTGAAACGCTCTTCAGCTTGAATAGTCCATTTTCAGGGAGTTTTGACTTTAGCTATCAGAAACAATCAGCCCCCTGGCAGCATGACTGAAAGAAGAAGAAAAACCCTCAGGCGAGTAATATTTTTTTGCAGAGGTAGCAAAATTGGCATAGTATAAAAAGGGTTTCAAAAAAAAAAAAACCAAATTTCAGAAGGGTGCTCCAGAGAAAATGGTTCTGTAACGCTGTCAGCAAAACTTCAAAAAGGCAAATTCTCTCGACACATCAGCACACCAGGCATGGTAAAGAGAAGTGAAACAAGAAAATCAAAGTGTAATTTATACACTTTATTGCCAAGTGAACAATACATAGTCTCCTGTGAAGGATGAAATATTGGATTTTGTATTGCTCATTCGACATTAATGTCCGTGTTGCATGGCCTATATTTGCTTTATGTTTCCCTTAGTCTGAAATTCTGGTGTGCTGGAAATATTTTAAAAACAGAAATGTTGGAGAAGAAATAATTCAGCGATTAAAGGTGACTTAGAAAATGACTACTCTGGAGAACGAACAAAACGTGGACACTCTTGCTGTTATTGCAGAGGACAATACTTTTTTTTTTGTGTGTGAAAGTGGAGTTTTTCAAGGCCATTCGACAACAAACTCAATGTAGAGAAACATGAGATGTATGTACAATTTGAGTTACAAATCCGTTTGCACTATTGCAAGTTGTGATGACTGTGCCTCATGTTAAGCCTATCATTTTCTACTGCTATATATACTTGGAAAACTTGGAAGTTTCCATAATGATCTCATTGTAGCACTTTACTAACTTTTAAATTTGGGAGAGTTTGAGCTTTTATTTATTACAATATTATAGTTGAGACACGAGAGATGACAGTAGGGCCAAAAATTGTTAAATCTATTGTTAATTTTGGGCATCAGGTTTGAGGGTATGAAGTGCCTGATTTTTCAGCTTACTTCACATAGACCTTTATCTGCTTAAAGCACAGTCACTGTATTCACTACTGGCCACAAGTCTTCAGCTGGAAGCCCAGGGACTGAGGAATCAGAGAATGGCCAGCTGAGTATTTGGGCTGATGAGCAAGTGATACTCAAGACGTACTGGCAGAAAAACAGAGAATCTACTCCTCTAGGACAGCATTTTAACTTTACTGGTCTTTCCAGGTCTTGAAACCTCCAAATCCACTTTCCAAATCACGCAGCAAATGCCTCCATCCACTTTATGGACTCTTGTTCTTTTTTTAAGTTATAGACTGTGTGGAGGAGGAAGATAAAAAATACAACATAAGCCTGTTGCTTTCTTTATGCCAGTGATTTGGAGAAGCAGAAAGTCACCCTGAGGTCTATGCTGTGAGACAGCAAAGAGAAGAGAAATTTAGACATATAATACAGCAGCTCGGTTTGTTGGACCCTGTAGTATATTCCTTGCTCAGAAGAAGATTCTCTGTACTTCTCTGAGGTGCTCCTTAAGGGAAGAGGCAGAAAGGGTGATGTGTGTGAAGGTGGCAGTGGCTAAGGTGGACTATCTTCAAAGAGACAGGTGGGGAATAGCAATGCAGAGAGGACAAGCTGTAGAGATGCAGGAGAATAAGCAACCTTTGGCTTGTTCATTGAGGACCAGATGGAAGTGTGCATGTCTACAGGTGGGTTTTATGACACTCGAAAGGCAGATCTGCAGCTGGTTTTGTACAGGAAGCATCCAAGTTCATCACACTGTAAGGGTTTGGAATCCATAGCTGGTTCACTAGCAGAACACCAATAAATTTTGGACAATGAACTATAGACAGTCATGCTGATAAATTAGCTTGGAATCACTTAGAGCACATGCTGCTGACAAATGGAGAACAGGGTAAAAGAAAGTAATTTTGGAAGAAAAACCTTCTGATAACTAAAAACTGCAGGGTAACTATCAGGTGCATTGGGATCATAAAAATGTAAAATATTATTAGAGAAACAGGATGCAAACATATTGCTGTCCTACTGTTTTCCACTCTGTTTTTAGAATTTCCATGAATTTGAAAGTCAGAAGCATTCTGTTGATATTTAATGTGATTTTGGTGGAGACAGTAGTTTCTGTGGATATGCATGATATTATTCACTGGGAGTTCCTTTCTATTCTAAGTACCTGCTCCATCATCTTACTGAGCCTGCTGTTTTGACAGTGGCTTGTCAGTATCGCTGTACGTTTGACATACCACGCCAAAATCTAGATTTAAGATGGAAACGCACGCACTGTGCTGAATAATTGAAACAACAGCAAGGAACCATTTCTTTCTCCACATCATATTTTAACTCTTTTCACATAGTGAACAGTTGTTCTGTCATTCAGATGTATGACATTCATATATTTCTGGGCAAAGCACCAAGATTGGATGCCTTTCTGGAGTACATTT